AACCCTAAACCCTAAAGCCGGAACCCTAAAGCCGAAACCCTAAATCCGGAACCCTAAAGGCGAAAGCCTGAGTGCGAGGGCTTTCAGCCTCAGTGCTCATTTGCAGACATATATGCCTCTAAACCCTAAACCCTAAACCCTAAACCCTAAACCCTAAACCCTAAACTCTAAAGCCGAAAGCCTGAGTGAGAGGCCTTTCACCCTCAGTGCGGATTTGCAGACATGTACGCCTGTAAACCCTAAACCCTAAACCCTAAACCCTAAACCCTAAACCCTTACGGCTTCGAGTCTCTGTCTCCTGGCAGCTGCGCGTTTGAGGGTTTGGTGGAGGAGGGTTTGTCTCTTTTGGAGGGTTTGGAAAAGAGACTCTTCTGTCTCTTTGAAAGAATTAAATAAAATTTCTTTTCTTTCATTTCCCGCAAAAGAAGGAGGGGCAATTGCGGGGCAAACTGCTGCCAGCAGCTCCGGCTGCGGGCTTCCCGCTGCTGCTGCTGCAGCAGCAGCAGCAGCAGCAGCAGGCTGCTGCAGAGTCTCCTTTTTCAAATCCAACAAGGAGACAAAAAAGCTGTCACTTATTTCTTCCAAAAGCTGCTCCACTTCTTTGTGGTGTCTCCTCGCGGCTTCGCTTGCGGCCCAAAACTGCAGCACAAGGGTTTAGGGTTTAGGGTTTAGGGTTTAGGGTTTGGGGTTGTGCGGGGGTGTGAGGGGACAAATTAGATAGCAAATAAAAGACGAAAAGGAGACAAATGAAGACACAAAAGGAGACAAATTAGAAAACAAACAAAAGATAAAAGGAAATAAATAAAAAGACAAATAAAGAAACAAATAAAGGACAAAAGCAAGATAAATTAATAAATAAAATAAAAAATAAATAAATAAAATAAATAAATGAAAAAGATAAATAGCAAAGGAAAAGTAAATGCAATAAAACAATAGAGCAAAGCAATAAAGAAAGAGAAAATAACACAAAATGACAAAAGAAATGAAGTAATAAAACAAAAAAACAAAGAGAGGAGTAAATAATAAAACGAAATAAATAAACAAACAAACAAATGAAATAATAAATAAATAAGTAAATAGATGAATAAATAAATAAGTAAATAAATGTATAAAAACAAATAAACGAAATAAAAAAATAAATAATAAAACAAACAAACAAACGAACAACAAACTAAATAAATAAATAAATAACAAAGCAAACAAACAAACAAACAAATAAATAAATAAATTAAAAAAACAATTAATTAATTAATTAATTAATTAATTAATCAATTAACTAATTAAAAATAAAAAAATAAAAATAAATGGACCTGTTTGTCGAGCCAGGCGCGTCGGGTGTCTATACAGCGCAGGGCCTGGAGGGTTTGTTTTTGGAGTTTTGGATTTTTGGAATCTTTTTCTGATTTTGGATTTATTAGTTCTTTTTTATTAATTTCTTTTTTATTAATTTCTTTTTTATTTATTTCTTCTTTTATTTCTTTATTTATTTCTTCTGGCTCCTTTTCGCTTTCTGCTGCCAACAGCTGCTGCTCCAGCGAAGACAAACGCGCCACAGACTCCGCCTGCACACGCAAACCCTAAACCCTAAACCCTAAACCCTAAACCCTAAACCGTAGAGAGTAGTTGAGGAGTTTAAGGGGCTGGAACAAGGGAGATCTGGTTTAAACCCTAAACCCTAAATCCTAGGTGGGGCGTTCGCGGGTCTGGAAAGACGGAGCTATAACCTAAACCCTAAACCCTAAACCCTAAACCCTAAACCCTAGGCGAAACTTTTGAGGGGCCTGGAACAGCGAACCAAAGACCTAAACCCTGAACCCCATAAACCCTAAACCCTGAACACTAATGACAGTGAGCACAGGAAGCCTGCGAGGTAAGCACTAGTACGCAAACCCTAAACCCTAAACCCTAAACCCTAAACCCCAATATCACTTTCAAAGATTCAATGATGGCGGGGAGGCTTTCTTCACTGCGTTCATAAACAGCGTGCTCTCTGGCCTGGAGAAAAACATTAGAAAGATATAAATGAACAATAATAAATGATAG